AGAGAGAGAGAGAGAGAGAGAGAGAGAGAGAGAGAGAGAGAGAGAGATTGTGTGTGTATATGTCTAGAATATTTTTGGTTCATTATCTACCACAGTGCTTCATAGTCATTTTGTGGGCAATTATGAAGTTTTTATTAGCACACTTTAAAGATATACTACTAATTGACAATCATGTGCTCCTCTCATGGTATTAAATTGGAGGGTACATCCATTGACAAGGGAGCAAGGCATTTCATAATAGGTGGACAACTGAAATACTAATTTCTACCAACAATATTCACCTTGGTTTTTAAGCAGTATTTTGAGTCTTTCATTAACTTTACTGGAACCCCTAAAATGGTTATTAACTATCAAGGACTATCATAACGTGCGTGCTGTAACAAATGTGTGCAGATTGATTCTCCCTTTTCTAAAACATTAGAAAGCAGCTGAAGGTAGCACAAGGAGCAATGGATGGAAACTAATCAAGGAGAGAACCAACCTAGAAATAAGGAGAAATTTCCTGACAGTGAGAGCAATTAATTAGTGGAATGGTTTGCCTTCAGAAGTTGTGGTTCTCCATCACTCAAGGTTTTTAAGAAGAGGCCACTTATCTAAAATGGTATAGTCCTGTAAATTGGTTGGGCAAAGAATAAAGTCTGATCCAAAGTTATCCTTATAAGCTATATTTGTTTCTCCTAGTCCATCATGACTATCTCTCACTGATTTTGTCTTAAATCTATAAGTAGATTTTCAGAATGGTAAAGAATGATCATTAATAGAACAGAAATTAAGTTTAATATTGCCTTAATCAGCATACAAAGGACCATATCAGAGAATAAAAGTGTCAATAATAAACAGTGTTTCATAATAAATATGCCTTTTAAAATGTCATAAAGAAAAAAGTATGATAGCAGAAGCAACTCAATGCCATCAAATGTTCCATAGCATAAAATACTATTGATATATTATTAAATGGGAGATTGTTCTGAAGATAATAAATGGGTTTACTATTCTTATGTTTGAAGATGTCAGAGAATATAATCACTGTATATGTGTAGCCATCCAAGATAAATTAAAAAATGAACCAAATTTCTGCAATATCAGAAAGTTTTTCATTGCAGAACCAAAACTAACAATAAGGTAATTGGTTCATTTAGACTATTTTTCTCTATATCTCAAGTAATTATCCAACTGATACAGAACCTTATACAGCAAATATGCATTAGCTGCTTGGACAGAGATTTAAATTCATTGGAATGCTCTGATTAAGTTTTTCAAAAGGACTGTATTTATATTTTTCAACATTTTAAACAGAAACAGAGTATGGCATTCCATCCAAATCTATAAATAATAATCAGTTTATTAAATTTTCTGGGTAATGACTAGTATAAAAGAGGCACTATCTTCATCAAACTTATCTTTCCCTGTATAGAGGCTTGATTTCTCTCAGTTTGTAGACCTGATTCCATTAAGCTCTGCATATGGAAAATAATCAAACAGTAGAATGGATTAATATACTGAGGGATCAGAATTCCATGCTGCTGTATAATTGTTGCCTTTATTGCATATGGTAAGGTATTCTATGTTCTTTAAGTTGGAGCAATTTGGGAATAGACATTTTGGGTTTGGACGGACTAAATACTATAAGGCTCATCTTTCAAAGTTTGCATTTGGCTTGTCCGATTTCTGTATGATTGTGATTGACTTATTGATTCCTATGAAGAAACATTTTCACTTCCTTATATTTTCCCATATATAACTTATTGATGTTTCTATGTTTAAAAATATTCTGTATCTAAATCAGCTATTGAGACAGATTACGAATGCATGCAGTCTCATAGAGGGATTTCTGAAGATATAGGATATGATGTGAGTTAAACCACATTTTAGATAGGCACATACGCAATTCTATATTTATTTTTTACTTACATTGGCTGATGTTCATACGAAGCCAGCGTGTTTAATACTGTCTTGTATCCAAATGAAATTCTGGGGGAGTTAAATTTCTGGCCACTGTTCTGCCATTATTATTGGGATATAAAACTTGTGATATAGAATTGTGATATAGTTCAAGCACCAATCCAATATAAGAGTTCTACTGAAGTTGTCCTCTTTCTTTTTTAAATTTGATAGTAGGGCCAGTAAATCTGTAAAATAGGGACATATTAAAAAATGCAAAATCTGTGTTCTTTTACTACCCTTTTTAACATTAGCAACTGGAATTACTTAATATGAACATGGCATTCTCTATAATTAATATAATGGTTAACAAAAACTAAAATATGAAGCGTGACATCATTAAAAAGGCCTTAATTTTACATAATGAGCTCTTCATTGCGTCTAATGACAGGGTATCAAGATAAAAGATTCTGATGGAAATCTTAACATTTGTACAGATCACTGGCACTTTTGTCCCTAAAATCAGTGATAGTAAGGGAAAGGATATACCAGTGTTTTCGCTCTGATATTCTTCAAAGTAAACATATAAAGTATATTGTCTATTGGACTTTTTGGTTTGCCCATTAATAATGTTTGCAAGGACAGATATGAGCATGTATGATGTATGTTCAATAAAATATATTCTAAAATTGGGCCATAATATTTGGATAAAGGTTTTAAGGGTTTTCTGATCTATTTTTTAAGTAAATTTAAATTATTGCTTAGTACAGATTACATCTCTGTCCCTTTTATAAAATAATGGATTCAGGAGGTAAAGGTAAAAGAAGAACTTTCAATCATCATGGTTAATTCTGCAGTGGGATTCCTAGTGGGATTCCTAGTCAGTTGAATAATGCAAAATCAAAGTGTAAAATACTTAAGTTTGCAAAGCAAAGGTATACCTTTTATATTCTGTCCATCCTTTCCATATGTACAACCATGTTTGAAGCATTAACCAAAGGTTAGTCGCAGTAAATCTGTTAAATCATAATTCATAAAGCTCTGTTACCAGAGAAAAGTTATAATGCACATATCTTTATATTATATGTTGTGTTTTTAGATTTGACTACACAACCTGTGCCCTAGTGGGTCATGGTTTCAGAGATATTTCTTACCAGAATGCCTTCAACAATAACAAAGTTTCTAATGTAGTGCTTTCACTTGAAAATCTGGGATACATTCAGAGATGTATCTGCCTCGAAAACAACTGGGGTGGATTGTGTAGGACAATCTAATATCAGCGCAGAAAAAGTTTTATGACATTTTAGTTTACATTATAAACTGCCTCATGGTAATGTTTATATCATAAAATGTTTTATAAAATTGCCAAATTTCAATTCAACAGGAGTCACAGGTCCCAGATTTTGTATGCATTCTGGATGCATAAGTTAGTCCATTTGAGGTTCCTTGGTCCAAAAGGTTTTGCCCTATGGTGCATTGTTTCATTCAGTTAAAGATTACAGGAATGAGAGTTTCGTGGTTTGGTAGATAGATAGATAGATAGATAGATAGATAGATAGATAGATAGATAG